CACTGAGCGTACAGTGCTTATAAATATACGTTGGGTAAGGGCAAACCCGTTATATATAATTAACATCTCCCCAACGCAAAAAATACATCTTGATAACGCAGAAAACACAATCGACAAAGCCGAAACATTCTATGCAATTGCTGCAATTAAAACAAGCTTCACAGCTAAGACATTAGAATCTTCACAGTCGTAAGAGTCCTGACAATAAACGCAATTTATACACTCGCCGCACGTCGAACACTGGGTACATTTCCTACAATCGTTACATTTGTCGCAGTCGTGACATTCGATGAAGTCGATGCATTCGAATAAACCATCGGATTTTAAACAATGAATACAGTCGACCTCATCTACCACATTAACAGATTGAACCGTGCCTTTGCAAAAGTAACAATTGACATTGGTTTGTTGGTTTGGGTATCTTTGTTTTATATCTCTGTTTCCCTTTAACGAAATTTAATATTTTCCGATATTAATCGGTGAGCAAATCACTGGGAATACATTTTTCCTTCGGTTTACACACTTCATTCCCGTCTTTTGTTTTTCTCACAAGGCAAGTGTGATGCTTTGACTCTGTACGTCCAATTTCGCTTGCTCGATTTCGTAACGACTTTTTAAATTTTTGAAAAAGGCTTGGGCAGGTATAGGTTTTTTTTTCAGTTTTGCTGATTTGGATTTGGAAATTTGAAAAACGGGTCGGGTAGGTAAACGACGGTTTCGCTGCAATCGGCACTTCCCTACTACTCAAGTTGCCTGAAAAATGCGTCTGTGAAAAATTCATCACACGGACCCTATACTCGAATAACCCCCGATGGCAATTTTGTTTGTGTACGTACCCAACTGACTGTGTCTGGAGGGAACCAAGCCAAACTCAGACACAGTTGATATATGAATATAGATGATATATGAAGTTCTTCTCGGAGCACGGGAAACTGCTTGCAAACACACAAGCTCACGTAACATACCACACCACACACATATTGTTAACGAGTACATGGTTCGTTAGGGGTCAATTTTTTGTTTGTTCGTGTCCCTTTCACAAATACATATGACTGTGTAAGTTCAGAACACATCCTCTAATAACCAGAAGTGAGAAATTAATGCAAATGAACCTGCCAAACAAATAGAAATAGTTTGAAATCAACCTTGGTTATAATTCCATGTCAAATTACACAGGTCAGGTGTAACAGAGACGTAACAATGCCACACTATTGGACCACGGATTTATAGAATGACCCCAATCTGAACCACACCGTCTGAACCCAAAAGGCTTTGATACTTGGCTGAGTCACAAGTCGAGAAAAAAATTGTCCCAAATCCGAACTCAAGTCCCAAATTTGGACCCATGCACGCACTCCATTACTTTTCCCACTTAATACTCACGGAAATAAACAACTATATACCTCAAAGAATATAAAATAAAGGAAACCTTATGTATTTTATTAACCAAACTATGTAGGATGATAACGTTAATTCCTTATTTTACGCTTCTGTTAATAAGTTCAGGTGTTCACACATGTATCACATGTCATGCTTACATTTTACATAATTATGTCAAAGTCATGTCAGGCTGACACATATACCTGTATATAAACTGTTTAAAGTAGTAAAAATGCACTTTAAAGTACAAGTTACTTTTCTGTTCTCTCAATTTAATTACATCACAAAATACTCTTTTCAATGCAAACCAACACACACAAATACAACAGTAATGGATCCAAGTGAAAACACAAGATTTTTAGATCATTTTTTTTGTTCAGCATGTAACTGAAAGGGAAGGAATTTGCACTACTGTATTTTACTGCATCCACTTGGTTCAAAGCAGGGAACTTTTTTTCTCACGGCCTTTTCTTGTATTTGTATTTTTGTCTAAAAATAATTTAATAGCCAAGTAAGAAGTAACCAAGATAATACCATTCTCTGTAAACAGAGCAATATGTTACACCATTAATAAGGAATCCTGCTGGATAAAATGGGCGAATTTTATTACGGTTTATTTTGAATCTCAAATGATCGGACCGACACAATAGCTGTGCTAAAACATACAATTACAGGTGTGCAATAGGAAAATCCATGTGCAACAGTAAATAAGTTCCAAAACTTGCAAGTGACTTTGTGGAGAGTATTAACCTTTACTTGCAGTTAAGGGAATAAACTGAGTCTTTAATAAAATGCGCATGTATGAATTTGGATTTTTTCTTCACACTTTCCTGCTAACCATTCAGGATCTTTTTCCCTTTATGAGGATAACTTGTCCCTCACACATTTTACTAAGACAAGCAAGTTTCATGCTGTATCATGTGTCTGCTAATTTTATTGCTCCAC